ATTCTGAGAATATTGTAATTAGTGTAAAATACACGACCCAAGCCTTGTTTCCTTTCCTCTGGTTCAGATCATCAAAAACTGACCCTTGTCTTTTCGCGGCAGAGGCATGTCCCCAGTAGAGTGCCTTGGGTGTGGTATTGCTCCATAAACTTTGTTGAATTAAATTGAATTTGTGTGCATCTGTGATGATTCTCCTAGTTGAAGAATGCAGTCTACTCAAATCCTGTTGGAATAAATCTTTAGCATTCTCTGTCACTTGTGCCCCTTGGAAGTTCTGAATAAGATGGGAGGCTACTAGCTTTAGTTAATCCAGTTTCTGAATGAAAACAAAACAAATTACCCTCTGGTTAAAACATGCGTTAGTGGTCAAAGGAGTCATATGAAATGCTGTAAAAGCCACTCTGGGCCCACCGTATTTGGAGAATCAGAGCATCTGCAGACTGAGCCTGGTAGGCCAGAAGCATAGCTACCAAAGGGCGGCTGCGTGGTACTTTCCACTGAAGTCATGATGGACTGTTTGCATTCTGGGGCCTACTGAATGATCTGGTTTTAGTCTTGTACAGAAATAAGAAGAGAATATCCCTAGATTGTTTTACATTGGGACATTTACTCTGACTTCTTAATCTTCATGTACATAATCCTTTCCACATTTGGGGGAGATTAATTAATAAAAATCCATTCTTCGTACAAGGCAAGTATCTTGTCAGAGACTGGCACTGAGAGGTTTGGGGTTTAATTTTGTTTATATTTTTCTTTATGTGGAAATGACCTCCTTTAATCTTCAAACATCAAAACTTACAGCAAATACCTGTAACTGATGTCACAATCACGTTTCTTTATCTTTAGTTAGTGTTAGTTACTGACTTACATCAGAAAATAAAAGCAGCTTGCATTGGAAAATAAAAGCACTTTTGTGCATTGGTGTAACATTAATATTTACCTGAAGTTCTCTTTCTTTATGTGTTCATTTGTTTATTTCACAAATATTAATTAAGCACCAGTAAAGATCTGCTATTTCCCAGTGGAATAAGCAATGAACAAAATGAATTCTCTGCTGTTATGGCGCTTCAGTTCTGATATAAATCATAAAACATTTTTAGGTGAAACCAGTGATTATTGCAGGCTTCCAAATTTGGGAACACTTTCCAGGGAAGATCATAACATGGGCTGTTGAGATGTTGTTTTATCTCCATTAAACTCTGTTCTAGAGGGGCCACTAAGCATTTGGTAGTTTCTGTGTCTCTCTAGCAACTTTTATTCTGAACACTTAGAAAATGATGGACGTGGATAAATCACATTTTTAAAAAAAATTTAACAAAATTTATAGAGTGTTTTCTATGTGCTCCATAGTGTTTTAAGCTCTTTAAAAATATTAACATTTAGTTTTCATTACAATTCTACATACCGGGAAGTATCAGTCTCCCTGCTTTACAAATGAGGCAACGAGTGACTCGCCCTGGGTTACCCAGTTGGTAGGAAGGGGTCTCGGGCACCTGACCACTGCCCCGCTGCTTTCTACATCTGGGGTGAGAGATCTGTTTTTTTCCTTCTTGCATTTAGCATTTCTTTTAAATTTAGGTTTATTTACAGACAGATTCAGTGACAGTGGAGGAAGTCTGGGCCCTCCCATTCTATGGGCGCCTCTCCTTTTCAATCATGATTCTTTCACAATGAGTTATGTGTTTCATTTAATTTGTGTGGAATTTGTTTAATCTAATTTTACTTAATTTTGTGTTTGTCTTGTTCCTGCTAGACTTTCTGTCAGTTCCTTGAAGCAGGAAACTGGCAAATAGGTACATTTGACAAATAAGTAAAAGATGTGGATTATTGCAAATTCTAAAACTATTAGATCAGTTTACTTGAAATGAAGGATTTCCTCCTTTGTGGGACTGTGTAATAGTTTAATTTAGCTGTTTATAAGTGTTTAATTGTATTCTAAACAATAGGATAACTGGACAATAGGTCATAATGTATTGGAAAAATAGACCTCTGGGGGCAATACTATTTAAAATCTAGCATATTCAATGTATGTGTACCTAGAGGGGAAAGTGTCTAAGCCACAACAGATTCTGTTTCTTATATAGGTAGCCACATGGTGTTTCTACCCGATAGTTCTCCTGCATCTCAGGGAACTTTTGATTATTTGAGGTTACATTGCGTGTAGTACCTCAAGGAGATCCTGGTCCATTTCTCAGGGACCTGTTCTTCAGTTCTCACTTTCTGATCATTTGCAAACTGCACCTGATTGAGAACCTTCCTCAGACGTCCTATCTCAACCTTCTTTTTGTGCCCTAAAATATTTCCTTAATGCTCTAAAGCTACTTCTGAGATCCTATTTCTTCAGTGAATTTTTTAGTTAATTAAAAGAGAAATCTGGCTTCATCTTTATTTCTCCTTATCACACAGGAATGAAGTTTAACGAACATCCATTGTACATGATTTTTTTTTTACTTTAATTTTAATGGACTAAAATTTATTCCACACGTGAAAACTATTGTGAGTCTCTTGGTTTTATGCTTGTATTTTGAGCAACGAATGAGCTTGCTTAGCTCAGTCAACATCAATTTCAATTCCACTGGTCACGGGACCTTGTTTACTTTAAGAAAAAGTTCATCACATGTGGATGAATATGAAATAAAATGTTATTTGGTTTGCTCGGGTTGCATTAACAGAGTACCATAGACTGGGTGGCTGAAACAACAGAAATTAATTTTATCGCAGTTCTGGAGGCTGGAAGTCTGGAATCAAGGCGTGGGCAGGGTTGGCTTCTTTGGAGCCTCTTTTGCTGGTTTGTACATGGGCATCTTTCCCCTGTATTTTTGCGTGGTCTTCTCTCTGTGCATATCTGTGTCTTAAACTCCTCTTCTTATAAGGACCCCAGTCATATGGATTGAGCCCCCACCAATGATGTCATTTTAACATAAGTACCTCTTTAAAGACTCTCTCCAAATACATTCTGAGGTACTAGGGGTTGGGACTTCAACATATGAGTGTGGAGAGGGGACACGATTCAGGCACAACAGATTTAAATATGTAACGTAATTGTTCTAAACTTTTATGACAAATTGAAACAAAAATTCTTTTTAAAGCTTCAAAGGAGGCCAGCGAAGACAATATCTTGAAGGAGGGGAATATGGAGGGTCTGGTCGTGATCTGGCTTAGAACTGGCTAAGTGATTTAGGGTAAAATTTATAGTAATTCATTTTTCAAATGTCTGCACTTTCCCAGCTTTTTACATTCAGTGAGATCTGAAGAATCTTTTAAGTACCTCTAAGATTCTGTGATTCTATTTTAATAACAGTTTTGTAATTAGACCTCACTGCTGATTTAGGTAAATGCCTGGAGAAGAATTTTTATAATCCTATGTTATAATCCTGTTTTGCCAAGGAAAATGCAAAAGAGCGAGGCTGTGTCCAACAGACCTTGATTTGAATTTGAGCTCTTCTGTATCAAGCAGGAGGAAATGGCTGTACAAATCCTTCTCTTGGCATCTTACCAGGTATGTGATTGTGAATGGGTTACACATCCTCCATCTTACCAGCTACGTGACTGTGGACAGGTTATGTGTCCTCTATAAACCTTACTTTCTTCACCCATAAAGTGGGAACAGAGTAGTTAGGAGGCTCTCCTCCAGTCCTGTCTCTGTCACTGTTGCCTGCTGCAGGTAGATACTGCCCCTCTGCAGACAGCTGACTCTGGGTGACTTGGTGCTGTGACAGCCTTTGCAGTCCAGGTGTGGCACTGGTCTCCATCCGCTGCCTGCCCCTCACATGCCATGGAGGCCACTTGCAGCTCGAGGTTGAGTGGAGCTGGGTTTGTATCAATGTCTCCAAACCCACTTGCTGTGGGATAGAGCCCTTCTGCTGGACACATGTCACTTCAGGGAGCATGGGCTGGTTCCAAGTGGTTACCATAAAATTAATTTTTTCTTACTTCCTATTCCTATATTTGCTGGTCCCAAATGGTTATCAGAAAACTCCTTTTCCTATATCTTATTACCAGGAGGCAAATGGTGAAAGTTTGTGGGACAGAGATGTAGTTTAGCCGCACACATCAGATTTCAAGATCCATGGGCTGCAGTATTGCCAAAAGTAAGCGCTGGACCTTGTGTCTACTTTTGAGCCTAGAGAAGTACCCACATTTTACGGCTTTTGTGAGGGTTAAATGCAATAAGTGTGTGTGTGTGTGTGTGTGTGTGTGTGTGTTGGGTGGGGGATAGCACCATGCTTTCCACATGCTTCATTCTGTTAAATTGGGTGCTTATCTTTTGTGTTGGGATTGAATTTATGTAAATCTAGTCTTTAAAACCCTAAGGTGACTTTTTTTGTTTTTTTGATGGCTGGCTGGTACAGGGATCTGAACCCCTTGACCTTGGTGTTATAACACTGTGGTCTAACCAATGGAGCTAACTGGCCAGCCCCCACTAAGGTGACTTTTAGCACTAGGCTTGAATAGATCAATTGATTCAGGGTAAAATTTTGTTCTGGTAAAACCATTAAAACAAGTTGACCAGAGAGTTCTCTGTACAGGAATAAAGATTCCCAAGTTCAGTTTGGCTTACCCACTTTAGTCATTGTAGAAGAGCATTAAAATATGACATTCTTGGCTGTAGTATTTGAGCTGGAATAATTCCCATGAATTAATCCATTTAACATTGCTTTTCTCTGGTACCACTGCTGATACTTCCTCTTTTAGACTCTGTATTCATCAGAACTTTTTCAGTTGCAAGGGACAGAAACTGAACACAAACAAGCTTAAGCTAAAAAGAGAATTCATTTAAATTTAAGTGAGAAATTCTAGGGGTATAAGTATGTTTAAGCAGCGTTAGATCCAAGGGCATATAAGATATTATCAGAACATTTTCTCTCTCTCTCAATTGGATTTATCCTTGGAAAACTGATCAGAAAAATGACTGCCAGTATTGGCAAGGTTGTATCCTATGACTTCCAGTTGGAAAGGAAGAGCTTCTCTCTGCTTGTGTTATATATCAAATATCAGGGAAGATTTGATTGGTTCTGCTCGAGTCACACAGCCATCCTTTGCACCCATGACTGGCTGGTGTATAGAGTATTGTGGCCACCCTGGCCGTGTGCCACCACTGTGGCAAAAGCATCTTGATTAGCAAGCCCACTGGGATTACATGGGACGGGAGAGGGATGGTGTCCCAAAGGAAGGGTTGCTTAGCAAACAGATGACATATGTCTGGTACACATAACTAGCATTTCAAATCAGCAGAGGTTTAGTGTTTATTCCTTTAGTTTACAGGGAATGGGAAGGCAACTATTATAAAATTGTGCCAGATCCATTTGAGAATTTTGAGCTCCACATTGAAAAAACCTGTTTGAAATGAGAAGATGTCATGTATTGCCCATCAGGTGGAATATACATTATATAGTCAGTCAAATAGTGGCAGCGTAATTGATGATTGCTGAGGTTGATTTCAATGTGGGTAATGTAAGTGAGGTTGATTGAAACGTGGGGATAAAGGAACAAAATGACAATGATTGACTTTTGTTCTTTTGGTAGGGTTGGATGACTGCCTGCAGCAGTATGTCCACAAGTTTGAACGGGAGAAGATAAACGGAGAGCAGCTGCTGCAGATTTCCCATCAGGATCTTGAGGAGCTTGGGGTCACACGGATCGGACACCAGGAGCTTGTGTTGGAGGCTGTTGACCTTCTCTGTGCACTGGTTAGTTCAGAAAAAGGTGGTCTGTACCGTGATGGTGTTCTTCAGAACCTCATTTTCTTAAATCCTAATTGTTTGTGATTTAACGTATCATCATTTTCTTAACGATCCATTGAAGTGAAGCACGAGTTAAAGATAACATAAGAAGGGAAGAAAATAAATCATCTTCTACATTAGGGGTTGGTAAACTATGGCCTTCCAGTTAAATCTGGCCCACTATTTTTGTAAATAAAGTTTTATTGGAGCCCAGCTGTACCCATTCATTTATACGTGTCTGTGGCTGCTTTTGTGTTACAGTGACAGAGTTGAGTAGTTGTAACAGGGACCATCTGGTCCCCTGAAGCTCAAAATATTTACTATTTTGCCCTTTACAGAAAAAGGTAGCCTTTTACAGAAAATGTCTGTATTAGTCTTATTTTCTTATCTTTTATAAAGAATAAAAAGATGAAGATAGTCCTGAATGAAAATGTCATCTTCGTAATTAAAATGAGAAATGGGTTCTGGTTTTCATGTCTGTTTTTCTTTCTATAAAAAGCATTTGAATTTCATAGATATTTGTGATATTTCAATAATCACAAATTGTGAAATTTATGATATTTCAGATGTTAGTGCTTGAAATAATCTATGAAATGGTAGCTAGATGGGAAAAAGATGTGAACTTCATTACATTTTGCAGATGATTGAGCTTTGGCTGTAATGTGAGTTAAATCCTGCTGGGTCCTGATACTTGCATTACACCTGTGGCTGCATGGGGAGCTCCTTCAGGTGTGGGCTAACAACACCTGTAAGGGCATTTTGTTTGCAAACTTGTCGGCATAGGTGGGATTCAAGTCTGCCCGTCATGGTGCCGTGCTAAGCATGCAGTTTACTTAACTGCCAGGACTTGGACCAACTCTGCAGCATTCAAGCTGGGTTAGTAATGCTCTGAACCCGAGCCAGGGGCATATACAATTACATCACTGAGAATGGTGGGAAAGAATGCACTGCCGATTCTTTTGCCATTGCTGGTCTGCGTTCCGTTGATTATATAACACTTGCTGCATTGTGCGTATTCTTCTTCTTAAAATGGACAGAGACTTGTCTTCTGCTCTGAGATGCGCTGCTCTTGTTTAGGAAAGTAATGGGGAAATTATTTGTGGTTGATAAATGAGCTGCCACAAGGGAGATGCTTTGGCCAAGTGGTCTGAGCACTGGCCCGGGAGGCAGGATTTTTGCATTCTAATCCTGGCTCTGTGACATGCTACTCCCTCTGTGACCTCTGGGGAAAGGCTGGCATCTGTTTTCTCCATCTGTACAGTAACACTCACCTTAGATGTGGCCGTGTGCTAATGTGTAAGTGGTTTGCACTGCCGAGAAGATGATGTCTGAGCATCCTGTTTATTATTAAAACTGGAGGTTTCTCATATTGTCAAACATGTTTGAGTTTCCTCCTGTACTCTCTGGGAACATGGCTTTTTGGTCTTTTCTGCTAAATGTTCTGCAAATTTGAATTGTTTCTTTCATTTTGCAGTAATACTTTGAGGACAGGTAAATTACTTGGAAATCCACAGTGTGGGAAATGAAGAGGCATGTTGCACAAATCAAGCGGGATGAGACACAGAACGGCTGCCTCTGGCATTCTCTGTGCTTTTTCCTCTTCCTTATGTCTTAAAATATTAGACAAAAAATGAACAAAGCTGGACAAATGCCAGAACCTAAAGCTGTGTTTTATCTTCTACAATTTCCTTCTAATTTCCTTTGTAGACCAAGCTTTGACCTCAGATTCATTCTGGGCCTGTTCTGTGCAACAGAGCGCCTCTGACTGCATTGAACAGGGGGCTGGGGGGGGGGCACTTGAGGGGTCACAAATGAATGTGCCTTTTCTGGGCTGGGGAGCGTTTTAGTAGTTTTAGTAAAATATCTTTAGCCTTGATATAATTTCCTTTTAAAATATTCTTATTATATTTCATGTTCTAATAATACTATTTAATCCACTTAGACCATATAGATCTTCAGATATATAAAATGGTGATAACTTTTTCTTTCAACAATCCATCGCCTGAGCAGTTAGTGTATAATTGCAGTTGGCCCTTGTGTTTATAAAAGAGGTTGTTGGGCCGGCCCGGTGGTGCACTGGAGAGTGCGCCGCTTGGGAGTGTGGCGGCGCTCCTGCCGAGGGTTCGGATCCCATGTGGAGACCGGTTCCCGCTCACTGGCTGAGCGTGGTGCGGGCGCAACACCGAGGGTTGCGATCCTGTTGCCGGTCCCCGGTGCGGGCGTGACACCGAGGGTTGCGATCCCATTACCGGTCAGTAAAAAAGACAAAAAGGAAAAAAAAAAAAGAGGTTTTCATGTAAACTGAGTTTAGTGGATGTTGATTTTGTGATAGACAGGAAATGAATAGAATTAGAAGAAAGGACAGGGGCGGGGGAGGAAAAAACAAAACCACTGGAAAGTTTCGGAGCAAAAAGAAGAGCAGACAGAATGGATAGGGACCTAACAAGTGGAGCGCTATTGATTCAGATTCCAAAACTGGTGAGCAGTGGCTCACAGATAGCTGGTCATGGTTAGAGAGCTAGGAGAGGAATTGCCTTGTGTGAACATTGACCTCGGCTGGCAGGAGCAGCTTAGGAGAGTGACTTGTATTATGAGGTAGAACCAGGGCCACTTCCCAGAACTAAGTTAGAATCTGGACCCAATTTTTCTTCCTCTGTCTATGGCAGAGGAGCAGCTGAGACAGACTCTAGAGCTGCTCTTTCCAGTAGGATAGCTATTAGCCACACGTGACTATGAGTATTTAAATGAACATTAGTTAAAATGCAATAAATTTCATTCCTCAGTTGCACTAGCTACATTTCAAGTGCTCAGTAGCTACATGTGGCTAGTGGGTACCATACTGGTCAACACAGATGAAGAAATTTTTCATCATTGTAGAAAGTTCTGTTGGACAGCATTGATCAAGAGGGTGTGGTTGAGAGTAACAAAATCTAACTGTAACTGATGTTCGTTGCCAAATCAGTGAGGCCCTAGTTTCCTGAGGACTGAGACAGGGACAGCTATGTTTTTTAAGGCTGAAGTAGGCTGAGAAGTGAACCAAGTTAGAATTAATACATGTGTTAGGTGATGCTACCTAAAACTGTGGTTAAGTGAAATACCTGTAATGAATTTATCTGTCCAGAGTGCTTAGGCACACTGGTGTACCCCTGAGATTATTTATTGTTCATCATTTACCCATGGCAAATCATTAAAAATATTACCTTTTTTATGAGAAGAAATCATGCAGGAAGAGTCATCTTTGCTAGTAGTTTGTATTTAACTTGATCGTGCTTATGAGCTTATTAAATGCCTTAAGGAAAACTGTGAAGTGTATTTCTTAGGTTGCCGCTTAATTGACCCAAGTTAATAGTATGGCTTTGATTGTGTGTCTCTGGCACCTATTAATCCCTTGTGTCAGATCATAGTACAGGAGGAATGACAAGAAGGTAGAAGTTGGGTAAGGTTGTCCTTAGCTAAAATGTATATAATCTTAAGGCACCAGAAGAGTGAGAATCTGGCCTCTTTCCTTTTCTCCCATCTACTGTGTGGTTTCTCCAGCCAGATTGGGAAAGGATCCCTGAACGTTGACTCTTAATAAGGGAAATCTCAGTACAAGGGTTTTAGTGTGTGTATAGATTTTCAGAGACTTCCTACATTTGTTATGTAGTTTGTATCTTCTTGATGCCTTATCTTAAAGCAGTTTCTGAAGGAGACAGATTTTAGGGAAAAGACTCATGAAAACAATCAAATTTGGTCTGAGGAATTATTCACTTTCTATCTTTCACTGTGGGGCACTTAAGTCAAAAATCCTTTCCTGATTATGTTTCTACAGTAGAGGTTCTTTTGAACTAATATAATCAGTTTCTTGTTCTCTCCTTATTGTGGAATGGGGTCAAAGAGGAAGGAACTTTCCTTTACTTCCTTCCTTTTAAAAATTATATTCTATCTTAGCTATATCTGTCCATCTTTTCAGTTCCATTATTTGTTTTGGAAAATAAAGAATCAGAACAGAGTGAGTGGAAAATGAAGAGAGCCAGTCATGATCAGCCACCCTCCCCCTTTATTTCAATATTAAAAGTTGTAGGATTGTAGAAGATTGAGGTTTAAAGTTTCTTGCAAGAGTAAAATGCATGTAATCCGCTTTGAGTTCAAGAAGTTAATGTTGTGTGTAGTAATAAAAGTTCTGAGTAATTTATGGTGACACTGACTATTGAAAGCCGGCTTTCCTTTTAGTTCAAAACTCTTGGTTTAAGTTGGCAGGCTGAGTAATTGGCTGAACGAGGGGAGTTCAGTCATAATCACAAGTCCCTCAAAACAAGCTGTGTCATGTGGGCTCTTTGTCCCCTCAATTGTGACCCTTTGATTCTTTGAATTTAAAAAGCCGTGTTGAAAATCCATCTTATTTTGTCTTCTCTGTTGAAGGGCAGAGAAGTCTCTATTTTAGTCTCTAGAATATAACAGAAAAAAAGAATAAATATAAGATTTAGAAAGAACATGACTGTTAGTTAATACAGAACACTCATTATATTTTGAAATTTAGTTTCTTTCTTAAAGCTCATAAAAGACCATTTTCAGTTAATTTGTACTGAACTCCTTTCAAGATTTAGTTTGAACTAAAGTTTTTAAAATTATTTTTTATTTTACTGAGAAGCAACATAATTTACACTTCAAATAAAATCTATTTAAAGTTAGAATTGTTTTCATTAAAACTTCTGTTGTTAACAACTTATTATTGTTCAGCTTGCCCACCCCCCAAAAGTTTTAACAAACCTCTGAGTATATTGATGCTTTCTGTACCCTGATTTTCAAACATGGCTTGCTCCTCTCTGGCCCCGGTAGCTCAAATGGCTGAAGCCGGATGAAAGATGCTTCTAATATTTCAAAAGTGATGGAGCAGGACAGGATAGAATTTGGGGGAGTCAAGCAGCTTGTTGGTTTGTGCTGCATCCGAGATCAATGGCCAGTTTTCCTTATTCTTGTATAACATGCATTCTGTGTTGTCTTATCACTTGACCCTTTCTTCAGCAGGGTGTGTGGAAGGGGGGATTTACAGCAGAGTGATCAAAAGCTTGTGCCCTAGATGGAGATTGCCCTGATTAGAATCCCAGCCTTACCCCTGATTAGCTGTGTAACTTTGGAGAGTTTATTTACAGTTTCTGTGCCTTTCAGCAGGGTGTGTGGAAGGGGGGATTTACAGCAGAGTGATCAAAAGCTTGTGCCCTAGATGCAGATTGCCCTGATTAGAATCCCAGCCTTACCCCTGATTAGCTGTGTAACTTTGGAGAGTTTATTTACAGTTTCTGTGCCTTAGTTTCCTCACCTGTAATAAAGAGATAATAACATTTCCACCCTCATGGACTGTTTCCCTGAGATAATACATGTCAAACACTTGGCCCAGTTCCTGGCAAAGACTTAGTGTTCAATAATGTTAGCCATTATATTATCCCCAGTTTTTAAATGGCACCAGATTCTTGCTTTGGGATGCTATTGAGACAGTATAATATACCCCTTCACTTTTTGTTAAAATGATAAAACATTAATTTAGGACATGTATGTGCAATTGAATTCAGAAATTCATATTCCATCTCCAAAGTCATTTCAGATTTATGTGTTGTTTCCTGAGATTGGTTATTTATCTGAAAAAAGATTGTAGGTAGTATTGTCACATGAAATTGATTTTTTTTAAAGCTCCGGAGTAAGTTGAACATTGTTCAAAAAGAGCACAGGTTAGAAGCTCGAGAGAGGGGAATTACATTGTAGGTTAGCTGACGTTTAGTTAGTGCTGCTCTGTTTTATGTGAATCTCATCTGATGGAAATTCATCCATTCAATGAGTATATTATTATCTGCTGTTCTGGAAAGACAGCAGTGAGCAGTACACACAGAGCTCTGCTCCTGCAGACTTGTATCCCAGCGGAGGAGGACAGTGACACATGGGGATTCAGATGGGGGCTCAAGTGGGTGAGATGCTAGAGAGTGACTTGCAGAGGTGATTCTGCCCCCAGGGGATGCATGGAAATGTCAGGAGTCATTTTTGGTTGTCACATCTTGGGAGAGGGTGTTACTACCTTCTAATGGGTAGAGGCCGGGGTGCTGCTAAATATCATGCAATGTACCCCCACACCCACAGCAACGACTTATCTGGCCCCCAATGACAGTAGGGCTGAGGTCGAGAAACCCTGCTCTAGATTAAATGATCAGGGAAGCCTTGTAGTAGGGGGGGATATTTGGGCCAGGACCTAAGTGATGAGGTTAGATGTTCATGCCAAGATCTGTGGGAAGAGCATTTTTGGAAGAGGAACTAGCAAGTTCCTGAGGCAGGAGCTGGCTGTGGGAGGAGCAGAGAGAAGCCTGGTGTGGCTGCAGTGGGTGGGGTGGGCCGTGGGTAGATCATGCAGGGTTTTGTGGTTGTGGTAGGAGTTTTTCATGTTACTTAGTGGGCTTTTGAATTACTACAAAAGTTAGGACATTGTTGATTATTTTGAATTTTTCCCTTTGATTTTGTTTTCCACAGAATTATGGCCTTGAAACCGATAATATGAAGAACTTGATTCTGAAACTGCGAGCGTCTTCCCACAATTTACATAATTACATAAGTAGCCGGCGGAAAAGTCCAGCTTATGATGGGAACTCCTCCCGCAAGCCCCCCAACGAGTTCCTGACCTCTGTGGTGGAGCTGATCGGTGCTGCGAAGGCCTTGTTAGCTTGGCTGGACCGGTAAGTTGCGGATGTGCCTTTTACTGTCCTGTAAAAGTAGGGTCTGAGATGCATAGAAGCCTGTACTTTGTTCTAGGAAAATGAATCATTATCTTTTTTCATGTCCTTTTCACTGGAACTCAAGGATAGATTTTAGGGTTCCTTTGGAAGTCACTTAAAAGGCTAATAGCAGGAACAAATTAACCTCAGTTTACAGAAGAGTGAAACTGCTAAAGGTTGTGTTTTCCAGAGATTAACCATTAATGATTTGGTTGGTATGAAGACTGTTAGTTGACTTCTGAATGGATGTTAACTCTCTTGGCTCATTTTTTGATGTGTTTTTATTTAGCATTGTCTCTTTTCTATTTAGATTTCTGTTTTAAGTGTTACTTGAGAGGAAACAGTTATGTAACAAATAATTTAAACTAGCCTGTTGTGTAGCTATGCCTGTCAACATACAATGTGGGATCCCAGTGGATTCCCCTGACCCTCTTTTTTTTTAAGAGGATTTTTGTTACTTTGTAGGGCTCCGTTTACAGGGATCACTGATTTCTCAGTAACGAAGAACAAGATCATTCAGCTTTGCTTGGACCTGACCACTACAGTCCAGAAGGTCAGTAGCACGTCATTATCACTTTGGAAAGTTTTTTTTCTCCTTTTCCCTTTTCCTCTTCTTCAAAGGATTTCCATGCAGGTATCCCCGCCGCCCCTCGCTTTTTAAAATTACAACTGGAGAGAGATGAAAGGCTTTGAATTAGATTCATTGTACAGATAGATGATTTCTGTGCAAAATGGCCAGTGGCCTTTGAATCAAAGATTTCCTTTGTTTTAACAGTCCTGTGCTTCCTCTAAAATGTCAGAACACTTAATTTTTTTAATATAAATTCTGGGGTAACTAAATTTCACTCGAATCTGTATTCTGAGTACTTTACTGTATCTGCTTCTGAATTTTCTTTTCATTTCACTTGTGGTTGCTGGACGATGCAGGTTACAATGCAGTAACAACCACGACACCTCAGCAGTTTATTCCTTGATTATTTATATTTAGGTTGGTCAGCTGGGGACTCTGCTGCTCTTCTGCTCGCTTCAGGATGGGGGCTAACAGGACAACCAGCATCTCATGTTGCTTGTCCCTGTAGCAGAGAGACAGAACCTTGGAAGTTCCCACACTGACAGATATTCTGGTTTGGAAGTGACACATGTCAGTTTCACTCACGGCTCATTGGCCAGACTTAGGTATCTTAGTAAGGGCTCAGGAAGTCTTATATCAGTCCATCTGTAACTTTTCTAGCTTCTGTGATCCTAACATTTTTTAAAAAAATGTCTTATTAGACCATCAGTTCTTAAGACCACCTTCTGTCATATTATTTGGCATATAACAGACACTTGTGAAATGTTTTGAATTGAAATGAGGCTATAAAATGTAAGGAAGGATATATATATATATTATTTTCTTTTTTTTTTTTTTACATGTCCCATTTGGTTCTAAAATCCCATGATTTCATGTTTGTTTTCACTGCTGATTTGGCAAAAATAAAGCACATTCTTCCCTCAGTCCTGACCATGTCATAACAGATGCAATTATGAAAAGCTGTGTGCTGTTTGTCTCTGGAACATGAAGAGTGAAGTCTGGCGTGGCATGTGACAGTTGTTTGAGATCCAGTCCTGGGCAGCCATTGAACTTAAAACACATGTATTTTTGAGGCCATGTTCTTAGAAAGGTGCTCAGAGCAACTAAAGTAGTACTGTGTCTTTGCTGTTTTTATGATGCATAAGGTAATTTTGACAAAAAGAGTCTGATACTGCTCAGAGCAACTAAAGTAGTACTGTGTCTTTGCTGTTTTTATGATGCATAAGGTAATTTTGAAAAAAAAGAGTCTGATACTGTTTGTGATACATTGTTCATATAGCCAAGGAGTCCTGGCACTTGTGGCAGAAGGCATTTCCCTGATACCTGGAGCATTCTTTTTCTTCTGTTACCTCCTTTCCATAATATTCTGCCTCCTATTTTGATTTTTTTGTTCTATTTTGATTTTTAACAGAGTTTACTTATGATCACTTAAGTGAAAGTGTAAGAGTTAAACATTGTTATAGCAAATGGGAAAGTTTTGCTCATAGGTGCATTTGTGTTTTATTGTGGCATGTGACAGTTGTTTGAGGTCCAGTCCTGGGCAGCCATTGAACTTAAAACACATGTTTTTTTCCTTTTTGTCTTTGTTCGTGACCGGTAACGGGATCGCAACCCTCGGTGTCGCGCCCGCACCGTGCTCAGCCAGTGAGCGGACTGGTCTCTATATGGGATCCGAACCCTCGGTGGGAGGGCCGCCGCTGTGCTCCCAAGTGCCGCACTCTACCGAGCGTGCCACCGGGCCGGCCCAAAACACATGTATTTTTGACGCCATGTTCTTAGAAAGGTGCTCAGAGCAACTAAAGTAGTACTGTGTCTTTGCTGTTTTTATGGTGCATAAGGTAATTTTGACAAAAAGAGTCTGATACCATTTGTGATACATTGTTCATGTAGCCAAGGAGTCCTGGCACTTGTGGCAGAAGGCATTTCCCTGATACCTGGAGCATTCTTTTTCTTCTGTTTCCTTCTTTCCATAATATTCTACCTCCTATTTTGATTTTTAAGAGTTTACTTATGATTACTTAAGTGAAAGTGTAAGAGTTAAACGTTGTTATAGCAAATGGGAAAGTTTTGCTCATAGGTGCATTTGTGTTTTATTGTAAAGGGTCCTAGACTGTGTGAGCAATTCAGGCTTCCCCTGCTGTCATGTAGAGAGTGGAGAGAAAGGGATGAAAGTGAAGGCAGAGGTAGTCACATTTGTTTTCACAGGTTGAATCCACTTTGCCTGAACAGGTTGATGTTGGCTTTGTAGGTATTTGGATGGTTCCTTTAACGAATATTTATATAGTACTTTGTGTCTGCAGCTGTTCTAGGCACTGGGAATACCATAGTGAATAAGCAGATTAAAAAGTCCCTGACCACATGGAGCTTACAAGTCTCTGGGGGAAAGAGAAAATGGAAAGATAAATAAGCAAAATTGTGTGTATACATATGCATACATAGGGGTGTGTGTGTGTGTAGCTTTAAAGTTAGAGAAGTGCTACAGAGGGAAGGAACTCAGCAAGGACTGAGAGTGGAACACAGTTTGAGCTTTGTGGCTGGAGGGAGCCTCACTGTGAAGGTGACAGTTGAGTAAGTTGACCAGTATAACGCTGTGTTTGTCTTCATGGGAGGGGCTTATTGTGTTATCTCAAGTGCTACTTTTCCTTGTAATGGTAGAGGTGTTGATCATTATGAGCTGGTGATAAAGGAAATCTCCCCGTAGGAGGTACAGATCCTGAGCTGATACCATCAGAAGGGTGCCCAGTGAGCATCTTCAGCATATTCTCTACAAAGAGACAGCCCCTGCCTCTGCTATTAATTAGACCTGGGACCTTGGGAGAGTCTCTCACCACTTATCAGCCTCAATTTTTTCATCTGTAAAATAGGAATACTAATATTTATTTTAGCAGATGATTTGGCGGGATTTCTACAAGTTATTATTAAGTAAGAAAAAAGGCAAAAAAAATTTATGATATGAGGACAAAGGGTGACCAAAAAATATTTAACATGCATGCATATATGTATTTGTAATATACATACATGCACAAACCTATATTCCAAGGAATATGTGAATACAGTGGGCAGTTTGGAAGAAAAGTCGTGTTTACCCTGGCAGAGAGAGAGGGTGGGAGGGAACACAGGAGCTATGCAAAAAAAGAAAGACAGAAGAAAAAATTTTATTTACGAAAATCATGTAAGAGGGCACTTCAAAAATTTCATGGAAGGATTTGTATCATCTTTTAATTCTGTTTTTTCATGAACTTTTTGAAGTACCCTCGTATATGACCACTTTTATATATTCGTCTATAACTAGTTATAAAAAAAGCGTAAAATATTTAAAAAATACCTACCTCAAAGATTGTTGTGAAGATAAAATGAGATATAACGTATTATAAGCACAGTGCCTACTTAAAAATACTAGCCTATTGTAGGAAATATAAAAATCTTACCTTGTGCTGGTTTTCTGGAGCCAAACTTGGTAATTTAAAGAGAGGAGATAAATATGTTGCTCTTATTTTCTGTCATTTTTTTGGTTTATTTTAAATTTGAACAATTTTTGGAAATTAAGACTGATGATATGTACCTATACATCAGAATATTGTTTTCAGAACATAGATGGAAAAAGATGTTTCGCTCCTGATGGAGCATGTGTTTTCTGTAGTAACCGGAGAGCACAGGTACTTTGGCATGTGCTGATATGTGCATGCGTGCACACACACAAACTAAAAATGGCAGACTTGGTGAGGAGTTGAATGTCGCTTTCAATGTGTGGTATGATGGTAGCAATGTGACCGAATGAGTGAGGGGACTTCACAGTCTCCTACAAGTGGGGTGCACAGAACAGTTTTCTCTAAACTTCTTGGCAGAAGATCTGTTGACTCTTTGGGAAGAAACCTGTCTTTTCCATTCATTCTTTTTAACTGGGGAATTGAAGGAATAAAAGTCATGTTTCTTTGTTTCCAGTAACAAGGGACATGTTCTCCTTGAGCCTTTATTCTTGTGTCCCTGTCTGTGAAGAGAGACATCTGCTCATCCGTTTCCTCCTTCCTCCCCTACGTCTTGCCTACGCCCCTCACTTTCTCTGCATCCTTCCATCTAATAATAATTAACCAGTCTTCTGATTTGAAGGATGTCTTAGTCTGTTTGTGCTGCTATAACAAAATACCCGAGTCTGGGTAATTTATAAAGAATAGAAATTTATTTCTCACAGTTCTGGAGGCTGAGAAGGTCAGGGTCAAGGTGCGAGCACTTTCGGTGTCTAGTGTCCTCACGTGGGGAAAGGAATGAAAAAGGCAAAAGGGGACAAACATTGTGTCCTCACATGGCGGAAGAGCAAAAGAGAGCACACTCATTCCCTCGAGTCCTTTTATAAGGGCCCTAATCCCATCTGTAAGGACTCCACCCCCACGGCTTCCTCCTTCCTAGAGGTCCCACTTCTTAATACTGTCGCACTGGCCATTAAGTTTCAATATAGGAAGTTTGGGGACACTTTCAGACCATATAACAAAGAGTAAATAGTTGCCCCGTTTTTTCCCCTGTAAGGAAATTGCATACTTCTTCTGAGAATGCTCTCAAAAGGTAGTCCTATGCCAAGTCCAAGGATAGATCTTTCATGTGCAATTTTGAGGCTATAATTTGAGATGAAGGAAACCAAAGTGGGGGAGGGGATGTTGATCTGTGTTTCCAGTCTGTCCTCCTCATGTTGCGATGACATGAAAACTGAAATAGTCATGGTAAGAGAGATCAAGTGGCAGTGTCAGGGGCTCAGTTCCATCTGGAAAGAGATGGAAACATGAGCTCTGTAAAGCCCAAGAAAACTGATGGAAGAAAGACAGCCATGGAAGCAGAAAAGGTGATGAGCTCAGTCACTGAGTGCTGATTGTGTCTCTGGTGTGTACTACACGCTTGACGTATTATCACCCTGAATTCTCAACAGTGCTCTGAGGTAGGCTTTGTTATTATCTTGTACAGGGAAGGAAATAGAGGCACAGAGAGGTTAAACATATTGCCTGAGGCTACTCCGTTGGTAAGAAGGTGGGGTGAGAAGGAGGGGCAGGGGGCGGGGGAGACTATTGGAGGCGAGGCTGTTGGCTGTCCAGGCTGGGTCTCTGCCAGTGAGGCTGGGTCCCTGCCTGCTGCTGGTCCAGGTGACCAGGGACTGCAGCGAAACTCAGCCTCCCTGTCTGACTCATGAGGGGGTAACTTGGTTCCAGTACCTCTCTTTTCCATTCTCTTCCCTTATGCCAAACAATGTGAAGTCAGCCTGCAGCTGCTTCCTCTTGGTGGCAATGGGTGTGGGGACCCATGTTCACAAGGTGGAAGGTGAAAAGGGAGCCTTTTCACACGCTGGCTTGAGTAGTGTGGGAGTCAGGACAGCTCCTTGTGCCCTTCGGCTCAGTCACCACAACAGGGAACCCATGTTCTTGGTGGCTTCTTGAATACGTCAAAGAATCAAGTATTGGGAACCATGAAGTCACACGTCTGCCTTGACTCTTGGGCCCTGGTCTGTGGAGAGGAGCACTCTGCTCCTGGGTGATGGCCTCCCAAGTATGATGTCATTTTGATGTTTGTAATGAAAGATCGTAGATACAAATTCTTAGTTATATTTCTAGCACAAGACCATGTACTTATACTGTTTTCTAAAGTTGATGTTTACTTAACTACTCTGTCAGACAGATTAATAGGGAATGAGCCATAATGTTAGTTGATGGTTTAGTTCCATGCGCAAGATAGAGGTGGAAAAGCACATTTCTGATCTATCATTATTCATGTTTTACAGAAGTTGCCTCTGCAGTTTGAATTTATATCAAATATTTCAAAACCTTTTTAAACACTCTTTTTAAAGTGTTTTCTTCCTAGGATACTCTTTTCCTGAGAGTCTGTATAAATTTTGGGAGCATTAGAGTAACTACTATGTTTTCTACATTTTTATCAAGCAGAGAAAATAAAAAAATATTTTAAGACAACACTGAAAATCTGATTATTAAATCACATAGAATAGAAATTGGTATCATCCCACTCCTCGGTACGGGTTGAAATCCTCTGCTGAAGATCAGTTCTAGAAGGCTAACTGTTTAAGTTTCGCATTGGCAGTTTCACTTTGGCAGCTTTTAGGCAGGACAGTGGTGGTTCCTATAATCAGCTAACGTGGTTCACACAGTGTCCTGAGTCTTTTGTTCTTAAACTGGGTAAATAATGCTTTGCATTCCACCCTTTATTTAATGTCATCAATAGCATACCTCAAGACCACTTTTTTGGCAGTGTGTTAATGAGTGTTTTGTTGAACTTTTTCATCCATCAAGGACTGAAATATCTGATTTATTCTCAGTGGTGCTTAAAATAAACTTTTGTGGCTGAGTTTACTGAAGCCCTTATTTGAAAGATATTCTCCTAGACAGGCTCAGAGCTAGGCTGCTGGCTCGTTGGCCCAGGGCTGGCTGAGGCCAGGGTCACAGTGAGAGCCACCTTCCCATTCTTGGACTTGGACTTCTGATTTACTGCTCTCTGGACAGTCTTTGCAGTAGGTGGATTTTAGTTGGTTGATTTTTGTAGGTTTCCAAATTAAATAAGTGGTCAAATGGGTTTCTCAGATTATAAGCTCCTTGGATCTGGGAAGAGGAGTAGGGCATGAGGGGAAGAGGGATGTCAACTTCCTTCACGCTCTGCCTTCTCTCTCCCATCTGGGTCTCCCAGGACTGCCCAGGCTGAGGCATGAGGGCCTTGTCAGGGACCATCTTGGGCTCCAGGAAACATCTAGAAAGCTAAGCCAGCAGGTTTTGAAAGTTTTTAGCTCTTATACTTAGTTTTCATTTTCTTCTCCCCCTTCTTTAGGATTGCCTTGTAGCAGACATGGAGGATAAAGTTTTAACTGTAGTAAGTATATGTTCTGGAAGTTATTATAAAATTCCTTTTCCAAAGGCACTGGGGAATTATATTAATTAAAGTAAATGCACTTTGGCTGATTACTTCAGGATATACTTTGAAATATTGGCTTTTGGGATATGGGTCTGTTAATTTAGGTGGAAGGGGAGGAGTAAAAGTTACTTAAGATAGATCAACTACTGTGAATATTCCTGTGCTTAAATTAGCTATATTCGAGTCTCTGTTTTTTTTTTTCATGTGAACATTTCAGCGGGGTACAGGTATACATAAATTGCTAGCTAGCTTGCTAATCAGGGCTAAAATGATGTACAGATTTCACTTTAGGACCATTTTGATTAAACAAAAATTCTTCACAGAAACCTTATGATGGAGGGGCATGTACTGTGGCTGTTTAAAGAGCATTTTGTAACTATTCATCATCACTTCCTCCTTTTGACATAAGCCAGCCTGTGCTCTTTTGATAAGGCCTTCCTCCTACTGATGTTGAGGAATTTAGCAATGAAACTGCTATAAATATATTTTCCATAAATAGGGAGGCTAAACAAATTGGAAGAATGTAAAAAGCGTCACTACTTGGATTCTCCCCCTTGGAAAGAAAATCATTCTTTGGAATTTCCTGATTTCTTTGGTTGCTTAATTTTGAAAGGTTAGATGAATCTGATTGGGAGAAATACCACATGTAACCACTGTGACTTCTACACAGAGACCACTTAATAAGGATCCTCACATTGTCTCTCTAGAGTTCCACCTTGTCAGTGTTTGGCATTCAGAGAATGTGAGTGATTGCTAAAAAGATCATAGCCCTAAATGTGAAATGCAAAACTATGAAGAAAACAGATAAAATATAACATAGAAGAAAATCTAGCTAACCTTGGGTTTGGCAATGAGTTTTTGGGTAGAACACCAAAAGTACAATCCATGAAAGAGAAACTGAGAGTGTAGACTTTCAGAGCTCTGCTCTGCAAAATGCACTGTTAAGAGGATGAGAAGACAAGCCAAAATATTTTCAAAACACTTATCAGATAAAGGACTTGTATCCAAAATATGCAAAGAACTCTTAAAACTCAGTAATAAGAAAACAAACAACCAAATTAAAAAATGGGCAAAAGATCTAAACAGACACCTCACCAAAGACATACAAATGGCAAATAAGCATATGAAAACATGTTCACTATCATTCGTAATTAGGGAATTAAAAATTAAAACAAGATGCCACTACACACCTATTAAAATGGATAAAATCCAAAACACTGACGACACCAGATGCTGGTGAGGATGTGGAGCAATAGGAACTCTCATTCATTGTCGGTGAGACTGTAAAATGGTACAGCCACTTTGGAGGAAAATTTGGCAATTTCTTACAAAACTAAACATATTCTTACCATACGGTTCAACAGTTGTGCTCCTAGGTATTTATCCAAAGGAACTAAAAACTTTTGTTCACAAAAATCTGCACAGACAGTTTATAGTAGCTTTATTTGTAATTGCCCCAAATTGGAAGCAACCAAATGTTCTTCAATAGGTGAATGCATAAACAAACCATATTACTTCCATAAAGTAGAATATTGTTTAACGATAAAAAGAAATGAGCTATCTAGTTGTAAAAAGATATGGAGGAAACTTAAATGCATATTGTTAATTGAAATAAGCCAGTTTAAAAAGGATACATGCTATATAATTCCAATTATTTGATGTTCTGGAAAAAGCAAAACAATAGTAAAAAGATCAGTGGTTGTCAAGGGTTCACGGTGAGGGCAGAGAAGATAGATAATTAGGTTGAGCACAGGGGATATTTAGGGCAGTGAAATTATTCTCTCTAATACTATAGCGATGGATACATGTCATTAGGCATTTGTCAAAACCCATAGAATGTCTACCACAAGGAGTGAACCCTAATGTGAATTACAGACTTTAGTTAATAATGTTTTAGTATTGGTTCATTGGTTGTAACAAATGTACCACACTAGTGCAAGATACTAATAGCAGGGGAAATGGGGTGGGGGGCAGGGTAGTATAAGGGAACTCAGTGTATTTTTTTGCTTAATTTTTCTGTAAACCTAAAACTGATTTAAAAAGTAAAGTTTTTTTTTAAAAAAAAAAACAGTACAGGCCTCCCTGCCCCCCCATTTTTTTTTTTTTACCTTGTCAATATTTGGTATTCAGAGATTGTGAGTGATCACTAAAAATTCATGAAAGTGGCTGGGAATAGATGATTTTCCTTAACCACTGAAAGGGGATTTCTACCTGGCCTGTGCTCTTCAATAGTCGTAAAGGAGTTAACATAAAAGCTTCACTTTTTAAACAAAGCTGAAGTAGTGGCACCATTCCCACAGATTGCAAATACGGAATCCAAATGCCATGCATTCATTGAGCAGAATTATCAAAATGATTGCCGACCAGAGCTAAAGGTTCTAGGTGAAGTGCCTTTCTTTAAAAATCAGTTTGAGATAAACTTGGTTAATGATTGAACTTTCCTGACTATTTGCCTCTCTGATTCTAGGTCAAGGTTTTAAATGGCATATGTGACAAAACAATCCGATCTACTACGGATCCTGTTATGAGCCAGTGTGCGTGCCTGGAGGAAGTTCACTTACCAAACGTTAGACCTGGGGAGGGCTTGGTAAGAATTCTAATAACACTTGTTTTATTTTCAAATAACACACACTGTCATTTAACAAAGTTTTTTTTTTTTTAAATTCATATTGCTGTCATTTCATTCTGAATAGTAGAATTAAATTAGACTGCCTTCCATTATGTAGTTAGGGATTTGCTATCTTGAACTCTGTTTATATGTTTTATATATTCAATGTACAAAAATGAATACAGCTTTAAAACTGTGTACTCATATCTTGAAGGAATTGTCTTAACAGTTTTATTTTTAAGACTTAGTGCGAAGAGATATAAAACATTTACACAAAGGGAAAATAGTCTCTGGCTACAAAAACAACATCTGCTCTGGAAGTCTCTATTAGCACTTAGATGGATGTGAAAAGGGACAGGTTGAAGGAAATAATTCTTTACAAAAACAACATCTGCTCTGGAAGTCTCTATTAGCACTTAGATGGATGTGAAAAGGGACAAGTTGAAGGAAATAATTCTTAAAAAAAAAAAGTTTAGAGCCGTTTTGTAGGTAATGTTTGAGCTGCATAATAACAGGCCCTGAGAATACTGTGCATCAGGTGATCTCCCAGTACCTAGTGTGCATCCTGTGGGATTAATTTGCTGAAATTAAGGTGAAGAAGCTGTGAGGTCTGCTGATTAGCTTGAAGGCTTTTGGTCAGAAAGAGAGCTGGGTTTAAATCCTAGCTCTCCAGCGATTAATCTGTTTGCATGTCGGTTTCCTCATAGGGCTGTTGAAAGCATTAACTTAGATGATGAATGCCCAGCACATAGCACGTGTGCATTAATTGTTGGTTGCAGCTACTGCTGCTGGCATTGTTGATGAGGAGGAAGACTGCCTAGTGTGTAGGTAGCTGTGGGAGATATTAAGGCAGAATCTGCCCGTAGACAGAAAAACAAGAATCAACCAAATGTCAACCAGCCTGCATTCTTAGTGAGTAGAAATATGCAACCTGATACTGCTTGGCTTCAAAGTAAATGATGGATTATAAAAGATCAAGTTTAAACAGGGAGGATGTCCCGGAGGTGAGTTTATAGTCAAACACTGTAGCAGATAAATGCCCTGAGTGGGCAGAAATGGAGTTGTCATTTTCAGACGATGAAGTTGTACAAGCAGTGCCCTGGGAAGGGGAGTTGCATACATAGGGGAGAAGCTGATAGACTTGGGAATGAAGCAGCAGGACAGGAGAAGAGGGGGACAACCCCGAGGGCCTTGGTATGGGGTGAGACTTTCATTGCACAGTGGCATATGCTTCTGAGCAGGGCAAGGGTCAAAATGATTTCTAAGAAGGATCCTCATTATTTGCAATATAGATGCCAGCGTGAGCAACTGCTTTTTGTTCTACTTTCTGCTCTCTTTCCCCATTTTATAACAGTTTAATAAAAACTGTGATACATGGTATGTCCGACTGCAGAAATGTTTCCTTGTTGATGCGGTGTTCACCTCTGCGTTGGCCTATCAGGCCTCTTCGGTGGGAGCGTGTTCTTCCTGATGCTTCCTTTAAAACAGAGGGGTGCCTGGTACTAATTTACTGCTGACGAGGGTATTTCACAAACTTCCTGAGAAAGTAGAACTAGAAGATCATACAAATCTTTCCATGAACTTTTTGAAGTACCTTCTTATGTTGTGTTATTTAATAATCCTCGTTTGTACATCCCAGTTTGGGTTATTCGTGACTTGAATGTCACCCTGCAATTACTGCTGATACCAAGTTTAAATGAATACATTGTGTCCCTAGGCAAAAAGAGATGGTCAGGAAAGAACAGTCTTTGTTTGAAATGCCTCTCTCATTTAGCAGGTCTGAGAAAACTCCTACATCCTCAAAGTTGTGGCAAATTCTGTGCGCCTGGTACACAGATTATAATATCAAAGAGATCTCCTGTCTGATTTCTTTCCCTAGGGTTTCGATTTGTTTAGTTCTCCTTCAGCGCCCTTTGGATCTTGTTTCACAATGTTTTGGGAGGCTTAAAAATGAGTATTGTTTTGAAGGGACCATCTTTAATGTTTTATAAGTTTGTCTCCCTTGCAGCTATATCTAAATGTTGGAGTAATGAGTTAACGTATTTGTGACTCACTCTAGGGCATGTATATCAAATCCACTTATGACGGATTGCACGTGATTACTGGAACCACAGAAAATGTAAGTGTATCTCCCTTTAATGTAAAAGCTATTTTTTGTTTAAACAGATTTGACACAGTTTCTACTCTTTTCTTTCAACGTGTGCATGCTGTTTTATTATCTGTAGTGAGGGCATGGGTGCCTGTTTTGTTTACTTCTGTGGACAGGTACTGCTTATCACCAGCTGTTGTCAATTTATTATTTAAATTGTCTTTTGTTTCTCTTGTTCACATCCCTTGCCCAGTTTTCACCCCCACTCTTGTGTTAATTTTTCTTTTTGCACCCTGGAAGTGTTAAGCCATAAATACAAAAACAATGATCTTTTTGTTGTTGAAAATCACTCTCATAAGAGCTGGGATTGGTGCCATATGTGTAAAATATAATTTTTTTGTTTAATGGAATTTTTATGTCTCCACAGCAGCTATTTTAGGATTTTTGCATGACATGATTTTTTTTTATAGAGCTGTATTTCATAATATTTGGCATGATATTAAAATTTAGTCCCCCCCCCCTCCATCCTTGGAATAGAAAAAGCAGGTCTGTTTCTACTGTGAGAGACTTTTGTACATTGTTTACTTCCATCTGGAAATTTTGCTACATGTAGGGGTTATTTCTTTAGCCCCTCAAACATTTTGAATTTGTAAGAAATAGAGCTAGCTGAATGCTTTTTTCTGGCAACCTACAATGTGGCTAGCTTTTGAATGACATTGATTTGAACCTAAAAATATTTGAATTTCTTCCCTGGGTTTGTGTAAAGGAAACGTGTCTGGGGAAATAATCTGCTATTTAATCAGCTAAAACAGGAGGAAATCATTTCTAATAGTAGGGGACATTTTTGGTAACTAGGTTTCTAATCTGGTGGAAATATGTGTCTAATTTTGAGCTTCAGCTGCTAGGTCTTTCGATAAAAGAAAATGGTATGATCTTTGGTGAATGTTTGTGATACACACTTGGTTTTTGTAGTAAGAAAATGACATGCTCGAGGCAGTCAATGAATTATAAATAACTTAAGTAGTTCCGGCAGTTGAATGAGGAGAGGATAGTAGTGTCTTTAAGCATTCTCTGTTGAGCTACAGCAAGAAAACACCAAGAATCACTAGGAATTTTTATGCCACATCACCTGATAGGCAATAACAACACAGGAAGCTCTGCTTTTAGGGTGGGGATGGTGCTAAAGAAAAACACATAATGCATTATAGGATTCATCCCTTATGCTTGTTGGAGACTTGGCATTTTTAGTTGAACCACAACATGACATGCTCATGTGCCACTGAGTACATGGTTTCGGAGTTGGATGGATTCAGAAGGATGGTGAATGTCGTTTCAGTTTTTAAAGAGTTGAAGTTTAGCATCCAGGAATTTGGTGATTGCATTGTTTGATTTAACCAGACCTGTGTGGTTCCAGACTCTCTCTGGCCTTGAAGCAGTTTCAATCTTAGATATGTTTACATGTGGAACATTGTAATATTGCTACCAGAAGGCATAGAGATTCCTCCCTTCTGGCCCTCTCATTCCCTCTTTTTTTAAATGATGAGAGTTGAGTGAGAGATTAAACAAAGCTACTTTTGAATCAAATGAAATATCATTAATGATATATCCCCCCAATTCCTACCAGAATCATGATACTGGGTGATAGTTTCAGGGTTTACCTGGATGTAGTAGTCTATCCTAGCAGGGGGAGGTGGTAACCATCTTGTTAAAAATCAAAAAAGGAATAAAAAAAAGAAAACTTGTCCTATTCTATCTGGTAATCTATTTAAAAATGTCACTCCCATTGCTTCAGTCATTCAGTTGTGTTTGAGTACCTGGAATGTGCTAGACATTGGGCTAAATCTTCTAGATGATGGTGGGAAGTTAGGTAATAGTCTGCTTCTCAAGGGCTTAATCTGGATATTTTGCACTTAATGTTGGATATATTATATTTGAATGGTAGTAGAAAGTGCCAGCTCCAGGTCAGCTTTCCAGCTGTCTCTTAAGGTCACTATAACTTCAGAGTCAGAATGTTTTCAGGGAAGCCTAGTGTGGTGGGTGGTAGTGGGCAGAAATCACCCATTGCATTCCCACATGAATTGTCTGCATATTCCTCTGTCTTGGGCCCCAGGCTGAAGCAATGCCAGCAGGCTATTCCCAGGCCTCAGTCCATTTTCTTGGAGGTTACCTGAGAGGCCAGGATCATTCCAAAGTCAGACTAACAGTATCTGGTGATTCTCTATCTGACTTCTTTTACTGATCATCTTCAAGACCTTGATAGGAGTCTTGACACAACCCTATCCATACTCCTATCCCCCACCCCTGAGATTAGGTGAGAATTAGATTAGCCTCTGAAGAATGGCACATTATTCTCCAGGTCACCACCCTTCTGCAGCAGGCCAGAGCAAGCATCATTTTTCTGTCTCTGGTGAAGATAGGCAAGAGCTATTGCCCCAGGAAGAATCTTGCTATCAAGCACTCCCTTTCCTGGGGTTCTGCCAAGCACAAGTCTTGATCACTTGGTAGGACATTTGAGAAATAAATGCATGAGGATTGTTAGGAAGGGAAGTCAGCTCAGGACATCAGTGCTTGTTTTTTAAGACTGCAAGTCTCTATAAACGGAGTTCCTGGCCTCAGGGCCATCTTTTATAAAGTGAAGCTTATCTTAAATGAATCCCTTACCCAGCAAGATTAACTGGATTGTACTAATTAAGACTGTACTGATTTACTACAGTAGGCCTGTAGCTATGGGTTAAGCATCTGACATACAGGTGCAAAAAGGAACATAGATAAATTCATTTTTTTTTTTTTTTTTTTTTTTTTTTTTTTTT